ACACAATACTTCCACTACAAAGTAAAAAGTAAAAGTAAAAAAGTAAAGTACGTAAAAATTTGTAAAAATAAGTACATTTTGTCCATTGCTATTAAACAAGTTGTACAGTAGTTCTCACAGAATTTTATTATATTATATTATTCCAGTGAAAAAATGACCACAGTTGATTTAATATTTTACTAGAAATGGGCAATCCAAATGATTCTAGTGTATAGACACAAAACACAATGGAGCACTTCCTGTATTACCACATGACATCACAAGGTGGAGCAGAGTGTTTTCAGTTTGGGAGAAGAACTGAGCCTAAATATGGAGGATTTTTGTGTTAAATGTGTGAATAAAACAAAACACAACTCCACGTATGCTTATGATGAGGAAACAATATTATAACTTAGATCAGAAAATGACGTAATATGGACCCTTTAATACAGCACATAATAACATCTCAGATAAGTCATGATTGTAGTAAAAAAAATATTTTTTTTGTATAAATATCTTTTGGAGCACCTATATAAGTCCATCTATTCTAATTACACAATGACCTGTCCACAGTCTGTTCCTGCAGCTCATAAAACCGCTGCTCTAATTATCCCTGAGCTTTTCACTGGAGGCTACAGACACGGGAGCGCAAACTTTCAACCCCCCGACACCCTCCGCGCGTCTCGTAGTGATGACATCAGCGCTGCAGAATGCGCGTCTGGCTGCGGGCCCTGTGGAAGCTGCTGTGAAGAGAGTGGAGACAGATCTGGCGGAGAATGGTCCCTGTCTTTTAACGCTTTTGCATCTGACTCACTCTGAACAGAAGCGGCCCTCGTGGTACCGTCAACCTGCTGCAGACTCTGACATCACCGCCGCGCTGACGTCAACAACAACACGGAGACGCGAAAACACATGCACGCAGATGTTCAAGTGCTTAGAAGTGACGCAGATCTGGTCAGGGGTCTCACAGCAGCAGGTTGCATTGCTCACTAACTTGTTTTTTCCTTCTGTGAGTCAATAAGCTGAGGTGTTGGGAAAGCAAAACATCTTTTACATTCTTGATCGTCAAAAACAGGATATAAAAGTCATACTCAAAATGACTTTTTATTTAAGGGCATTGTCTAAATCTGCACAGTGGCATCAACTTAAAGCTCCTATATTACGCAAAATGGATTCTTGTGAGGTTTAAGTCATGTTACAATGTTGTTACCTCCTCAAAAACAGACTTGGAGTTGTGTTTTGTTTCATTCACACATACTTGAGAAACCCTTCTGCCTGCATCTCCAAAGCTCAAAATGCACCTTGTGATGTCATGTAGTGGTAGTTTTCAGATCTGTGAAGAGGAGACCCCACACTGCAAACATTTCACAGTGAAAACCTCTGTAATTGAATAAATCTAAGATTAGTTTAAAAACTAACCAACACAGACGAGAGAGCAGCACTGGACCTCAGTCTGCTGTACATCTCCACCTAAAAGCCACTGGACACTCTTTTAAGAATAATGATGTATAGATCTTTAGCCTGATTCATCAGCCGGTTTCACTTCATTTCACTTCTTAGAAACCGTAGAAACCGTCTGACCTCATAGCATTAGAATTTGTTCGCTCGATGGTAGTTGAGTACTTTTTTATTTAACCTGCTATTTGCTATTTAACCTGCTATTTGGTCGTGACATATGTAATGCGCCGCTAACCGGGCTAACTGGTATATTAAGCTTTTCCCAAATCCCGTAGGAAGAAGGGCAATAACATCTTTCCCCTTGATAAAATTCACCAAACATTCTCTTTGTTCCGGCTTTAAATCCTCGATCTCGGGAATCGTTGACAACACAGACTGTATGGCTCTTTGCTGATTGGTTGGTGCCTGAACTCACACTTCCGGGTTTTTGCGAACCTTCTATTGTATTCTGATTCCTGACCGAGTTGCTGGAGAGAAATTTAATTGAGCAGAGGCACAAGGTGGCACCAGCCTGGCTAATAGAGATTAGCCAGGGAGAAGAACTGATTTGAGAAGGGAGTTAAAGAAGCAATGTTTGTTAAGAAAGGGAATCCTTCTCTAAACAGAGACAGACTCAGACACCATCTATTTCCTATTTACAACTCCATCCTCAAACCTAAGTCAAAACAAACAAGAGAACAACAGCTGTAGCCAGGTCAGATCCAGGGGTGTGAAAAGCTCCATTATGGCCCTGAATGCAAATATGAGCCCACACTCAGTACAGTTCCAAAGGTCTAGCTAACAAACAGAAACTCTAAACAAGTAGGTGAGTTTAGTTTCAGAGTAGTTTCAGTGTAGTTACCTCCTCCCTTCAGGCAGATATAAGGAAGTGTCCACCAGCATTTTGACCAGAACTGAAGAAGCAGCTTGGATGAGCTGCGAAAAGCATTTGACCAAATAAACTTTTGTCCAGACAAACTGAATTTGTCCTTTGCCATTAATTAAAACAGCATTCTGTAACAGCCTCAGAGCACGAAGGGTCTGGGTTCAATCCCTGGATAGCCTGGGCCTTTCTGTGTGCAGTTTGCATGTTCTGCCTGTGTCTGTGTGGGTTTCCTTTGGGCACTCCGGGTTCCCAAAAAACAACCCAACCCAAAAACATGCACCATAGGTTAAATCCTCCAGCTAAGGTCCTGACCAAGCCTGGCAAGATCAGGGAGATTAGGTCCCGCCACATGTGGGTGAAATGCAGAGGACAATTTCCCTACAGGGATAATAAAAAGTACTAAAAAAAAAATTTTAACATTCCACTCAAAGCATTAATATCTCTATGAAGACAAGCAGATGGCATACCCCCACCAGAAAAGTTCCCTAGTGCACCTTTAAGAAACTGACAGCCTCAAAGTGAGTGAAAGTATTTTAGTTGTAATCTCACAGCTGTGTGACATTATACTCACATAATAATCACATTTAATCTGAAGCAGAAATTCAAACAAAACAGCCTCAGATAGAATCGTTTTTTGTATTAGTCATAGTTCATGCTGGTGGTGGTGTTTTCCTGTGTGACTGATAGCTGACCCACTTCTCGGGGGTTGGAGTATTAAAGGTCAGGGCAGAGTGAGTCAGTGGGCAGCCATCAGTAATGGAAACTATAACTCCCACAATCCCCCTCTTCTCCTCCTCTTTTTCACTGTTCTGAGAGGGAGGGGGCACTTGTTTACTCACATTTAAACATTACAAACATTAATGGAGTTGTTAGGGTAATATCAGAATCCAGTTTTCAGTTTTTGTATAATAACAATACTACTTGTAACCATGAATCTTGCAAATAATTTGGAAAAGGTGTCTGGGCGCTGCATATGCTCTCTCATAGTGGTCTGACCCAGCACTATTGACAGATGGGTCAAATGCAGAGAAAATGTATTCATATATTCAAATCAACCCTGCCAATAAAGTGCAAATTCTGTTTTCTATACAACATTACAAAATAATCCAGTTTGAAGTGTAAAAATTGCAGAAACCCCATAATCTGAAGGTTTTGACATTACACACAGCTGTCAATCTGGATAATTCATGAATTGTTGTATTTTATGGCACTAATAAATATTCATGTTTCAGATTCTTGTTTATATGCACCATTTTGAGAACTTTTCGACATTTAAATAAGATATCATATTTTTTATTCACTCCAAAAATCCAGGGATATAGAGGAAAAAAATAAATAAATTCTTTGTCATATAAAGCTGTATAATTGAATCACACTTTTGTCAGTGTATATGCCTTACATTTGACATAAGAGACGGTGACAGTTGGAGTTTTCTCACATAGGCCGTAAAAAGAAGTGGACTAAGGAAGTGTGACGTCACCCACAGTGTTCAGCTCCAGTCAAATGAAGCTCATCGAGGCGCGTAGTTATGGGGTGAATTTGGAGACAAGTTCTATATATGGAATTTATGTACGGACAAAATGGTAACCCTCGAACCACCACCTTAACGTGGTGGAGGGGTTTGAGTGCCCAAATGATCCCGGGAGCCATGTTGTAGGGGGCTTCATGGACCTTGGTAGGGTCACCCAAGGCAAACAAGTCCTGGGGGACGGGTCAGACTAAGAGCGGTTCAGAAGCCCTATGCTGAGCACCACACAGAGGCCAGTGACGTCGCCCGGATTGGCAGTACCTGGGCCCCACCCTTGAGCCAGGCCTGGGGTGGGTGCTCAGTATCGAGCGCCTGGTGGCCAGGCCTTTCCCCACAGGAGTCAGTCAGGCTCAGCCCGAAGAAGCGACGTGGGGCCATCCTCCTGTGGACCCACCACCTGACTGAGGATTCATAGGGGGCCAGTGCATGGAGATCTGGGCAGCAGTTGTCGGTGGGGGCCTCGGCGATCGGATCTCTGGATATGGAAACTAGCTCTGGGGACATGGAATGTCACTGGGGGGGAAGGAACCTGAGCTTGAGTGGGAGGTTGTGTGCAGTTTGTTTACTCACATGTAACAGTCATAGCGGGTGGGTGTGTTTGTTTACTCACATGTAACAGTTGAGGTGGGTGGGTGTGTTTGTTTACTCACATGTAACAGTCATAGCGGGTGGGTGTGTTTGTTTACTCACATGTAACAGTTGTAGCGGGTGGGTGTGTTTGTTTACTCACATGTAACAGTTGTAGCGGGTGGGTGTGTTTGTTTACTCACATGTAACAGTTGTAGCGGGTGGGTGTGTTTGTTTACTCACATGTAACAGTCATAGCGGGTGGGTGTGTTTGTTTACTCACATGTAACAGTTGTAGCGGGTGGGTGTGTTTGTTTACTCACATGTAACAGTTGAGGTGGGTGGGTGTGTTTGTTTACTCACATGTAACAGTCATAGCGGGTGGGTGTGTTTGTTTACTCACATGTAACAGTTGAGGTGGGTGGGTGTGTTTGTTTACTCACATGTAACAGTCATAGCGGGTGGGTGTGTTTGTTTACTCACATGTAACAGTTGTAGCGGGTGGGTGTGTTTGTTTACTCACATGTAACAGTTGTAGCGGGTGGGTGTGTTTGTTTGCTCACATGTAACAGTTGAGGTGGGTGGGTGTGTTTGTTTACTCACATGTGACAGTCGGGCGGGCGTGCTGATGTCCGTATGGGGGAGTATGAGGGTGTCTCCATCTTGACACAGGATCCTCTGGGGGCCATTGCACCTGACGATGAGCGGCTCTGTGTACGTCAGGACCACATCTACGAGAAGAAACAGAAGAGCAAGAAAAGTGAGTAAAAAGAGAAGCTAAATTATATCTTAACTGAAATTGCAATGTGAATAGTCACAATTAGCAAATGATAAAGACTTAGAATGTTGTTGTATTAGTTTAAAAGTTCACATTCAGTCTTGATAATAATACTTCTGGACAGTTTTAAAAAGTGAACTGTGAAGTTGTCTTGATTATAATGCTGCATTGTGTAACTTTTATGAGGGCCCGTCAAATGCTTTTCTCCATGGAGATGTCATTGCTTTTGTCTGTTTCACAGTATGGCATTAAACCTTCATGGAGACCAAACCAGACCAAGTTACAGTTTTTTCTTTTTTTTTGAGCTGTAAAACCACCTGTACAGATGTAGAAGTAGAGCTGTTTAATGTCATACTGTGGAACTTTCCAGGTAGAGCAATGACAATGCCCCCCAAACAAAAAGTTACACAGTGCACCTTATAAACATATTTATAATTGCAAATCAAATCGCTATCTCAAATTGTTAAAAAAAATAAAAAAAAAAAATCAACTATAATCTCGATGGGGAAATTTCAATGTTGCCAATGCCAAGTACAGGAACAACAAACAGTACAATAAAAATAAAAATGTATTTACTTTACTTTATCAGATCTCAGACTTGGTTTTTCAGCTAGATTCTCCATGTGATGATGATCATTTGAGTTTTACTTTTACTTTAGTTTTTGCTCCGGTATCTGTACTTATTACTTGTACTTATTTAAGTAACAAAACTGAGAACTTCTTCTACGACCACCATCAAAATTTGTACAAAACTGGGACTGGTTTTGGAACTAATCTGTGTAGTCAGTCTCAGTCGTCCAGGTAAAATCCATGGCAATGAAGAAATTCAAATTCAGTGTCAACTGGACAAAAGTTTATTTAGGTGGAAAACCTCAAGCTCATCCAAGCTGCGTCTTCAGTTCTGGTGGACACTTCCTTATATCTGGCTGAAGGGAGGAGCTAACTACACTGAAACTATTCTGAAACTAACACACACACTTGTTTACAGTTTCTGTTTGTTAGTTAGGCCTATTCATCTCTACTGTGTTTGTGTGTGTGTGTGTGTGTGTGTGTGTGTGTGCGTGTGTGTGTGTGTGTGTGTGTGTGTGTGGGTGGGTGGGTAAATGGGGGGGGTCATATTAGCATCATCATTCAGGCCCATAATGAGTGTGAGTGTTTTCACACCTCTGGCCCTGACCTGGCTACCCCTATTGTAATTTTTCATAAAATTATAATGGTGTAATATTTACTCCTTTTGTAAATAGGAGACAGATGATGTCTGAGGCCTTGATTTCTGCTTAAGAAAGAATTGTCTTTCCTAACAAAAATAACTCCCCCCTCAAACCAATTTTTTTCTCTGGCTAAGATCTGTACGTTACTATCCTCAAAGAAGTGGCTCGTGGCTACTAACACTTTCAGACAGAAAATGGTCCACCCAAAGACATAAACAAAGCAATGTGGTTTATTCCATCCAGTGCAGTGAAGACTGTAGTGAACGCTACACTCGAGAAACAAAGCAGCCACTTCACAAGAGGATGTACCAACACAGAGGAGAGAGCAACACAGGACCTCAGTCTTCTGTACATCTCCACCTAAAAGCCACAAGTCACTCCTTTGAGGATTTATAAGATATAAGGAAATGTCGTGTCCACAACTGTCTAACCAGAACTGAATAAACATTTTTCCGGACTAAACTGGGCCCAAATCAGAATCCAGCAGATACAGGTGAACGCCCCTTAAACCTTGTACTGTGCTTCATATCTCTACACTTTAAGTCAAGCGTTAAGTGTGGATATGTTTTGGATTAGGGAGCCACATTCTAACACTGTTCAGAGTTACATATTGCACAAAAGCTCTGATCTCATAAAGTGAAACAAAAGCCTGAACGGAGCCAAACAGAGCCGTGTGTTCTGGGCCCCTCACATAAAGAATAATGAATCGAGTACAGTATATGAGCACGACACCTCCTCCACAAACACTGGACAAGGCAAATATAGACAGCTGCTTTTCATAATCTACTCTCTCTCTCTCTTTCTTCTCGCTCTCTTTCTCTTTCTTGTGTCTCTCTTTCTTCTGATGATAATGTCTTAAGTTCTGACGTGCGCTGAAAACCACTTGGTGACGCAGCAATAGATCAAACCCGGTTAAATAAAAATGAATAAATCACCACATTTCTCTCTTCTAATTTTTTTCTCTCACGCCTCTCTCATTCTTGCTACTATTTCTGTCTTTCTCTCCTTTCTTTTTTCGGTCCTTCGTCCCCATGCCTCCACTTTCTCCATTCTTACTTCAATATCTCGTAATTTTTTTCTTCCTCTTTCTCTCTATATTCTACCCTCTCTCTTTTCTTTTCTTTACTCTCTTTCTGCCCTTTCTCTGTCTTTCTGAGTTCTCTCCTCTCGTTCTTTTCCCATCCTCTCTACTCATTTATGTATCTATCTATCCATCCGATCTCCTGAATTTTTACTTCCTCTCTCTTCTATTTCTCCATCGCTCTACTCTGCTCCCTTTCTCCTATCTTCTCTCCTCTCTCTCTTCAATCTGTATTATCTATCTATCTATCTATCTATCTATCTATCTATCTATCTATCTATCTATCTATCTATAGTTCTGTCCCTTCTTACTTCCTATTTTTTCTCTCCATCTGTTCCTATCTATCTACCCCTCTCTCTCTTTCTCTCTCTCTCTATCTATCCATCCTCTCTCTCTCATCCATCCATCCATTCTCTCTCTCTATCCATCCATCCTCTCTCTCTCTCCATCCATTCATCCATCTCTCTCTCTCTCTATCATCCTCTCTCTATCCATCCATCCTCTCTCGCATTCTCTCTCTCTCTCTCTCCATCCATCCATGCATCTCTCTCTCTCTCCATCCATCCTCTCTCTCCATCCATTCATCCCCCTCTCTCTCTCCATCCACCCATCCATCTCTCTCTCTCTCGCTTCTCTCTCTCTCTCTCCATCCATCCATCTCTCTCTCTCATCCATCCATCCCTTGCTCTCTCTCAATCCATCCATCCTCTCTCTATCCATCCACTCTCTCTCTCCATCCATCCATCCATCCCTCTCTCTCTCTCTCTCTCTCTCCTCCTCTCTCTCTCTCTCTATCTCTATCTATCTATCTATCTATCTATTTATACTTTGTTGTCTTACTTTCTTGTTTTTTCTCTACTCTCTACCCTACTCTTTTTCTCTCCTCATTCACCTTCCCCTCTCTCTTTCTCTCACTCTCTCTCTTCCTCTGTTTCTCTATCCCCCGTTCCCCCTCTCTTCTCTTCTTTCTTTCTCTTCTTCTATCTTTCATCACACAAACGTACAGGTCCAAACCACGTCCCACTTCCCGATGCTGTTTGTTTACTTTTACCCCTCTCACTCCTCTTTCTCTCTCTCTTTCACTCTTTCTCTCAATCTTTCTCTCACAAACAAATTCCTTCTGAGAGTATCGCGCGTCATATTTGGCGTGAGTATATTTAGACGGAGATGTGTGGGTGAGATTATAAAGAGTTGAAGGAGCTCAAGTTGGTCGCCTCAAAAATGTAACAAGATGGAGGTTTGGGTCCGACGCCACGGAAACCACGAGCCGTACAACACGAGGCTCCTGCGAAACGCAAACATCACAACTCAAGGACGGAAAGACCGAAATAGAAAGTTCATCATTTTCCTGTATTTTGAGACAAACTAAATAAAAATACATAAATAATAAAAGAATCCGTGTATCATTCGTTCATTCATTTTTCAAAATAAAACCACAAATAAGAAAATGAAAAAGCTACTATTTTCTTCATTATTTGTCTCCAAAACCAATTCAGATCAGATAACAATTGTTTTTTTTTTTTTCAGTTTTCAAATTTGTGTTTAAATGGAAAATGGAAAAAAGTGACTTAAACTGTGATGCCGGACTAAACCAGGACTGAACCAGGACTAAACCAGGATTAAACCAGGACTAAACCAGGTCTAAACCAGGTCTAAACCAGAACTGAACCAGGACTGAACCAGGAGTGTCGGGATGGGACCAGAGTTGTGCCCACATAGACTGTCGGGTGATCAGGACTGAGACCGAGACCATACTAGGACAAGATCAGGACTGAGACTAAGACTGAGACCGGGACTTAGCAGACTCAGCAGAGCTCATCGACCATTGGTTGCTCTGTATCTTAAACAAATTGGTATTGATATCGACCATTAAAAAAAAAAAGAAAAGAAAGAAAAAAGAAAAACATATAACATATAATTATTCACTGCATAGAGTTAAAAAGTGGATTTCATAACTGTGAGGCCAGAGAGTTGTTTCGGTGTCACAGGAATGTTAACAACAACAACCAGCAGGCTAACAGCACACTTCCTGAGTCGATCATTAGATGCAGACAGCACACAGCAGTCCAATTTTGACATTAAGAGATGCTTTTGCAATTGTTTTTTTGTGTTTTGTTTGTTTGGGCTTTTGTTTCATTCACACAAAAACTGCATAGTTAGTTCTTCTCTGAAAACATAAAAAACACTCAGTTCCACCTTTGTGATGTCATGTGGTAATATAGGAAGTGCTTCACTGTGTTTTTGAACTCCATGCAACTCTGGAACTGCCAGTTTCTACTAAACAAAAGGTAAAAAGTAGCTGTTAACTTGAAAACTACTGCTTGATGACATCACAAGGTGGAACAAAGCATTTTGAGCTTTGGAGGTGTAGCTAGACTGATAACAAAGTTATCAGTTTCATTCACACAAACATGTGTGAATGAAACAAAACACAACTCCAGGTCTGTTTTTGAGGAGGTAACAGCATTCTAACATGTCTAAAAGCTCAGAGAGTCAGTTTAGTGTAGTACAGGAGTTTTCAGTGATATAAGAGCGAGTTCCTGGTCTGATCAAACAGGAGCTGATGGTGAGGGGCCCATCTCTCACAGTGAATCAAAGCCTCAGTCTGATGCTTATGTAAGTGTGATTCTGAAGTGAAGAGGAGCTGTGTGTGAGTTTACA